ATAAAGGGAATTTTGGGATAAATAAAATTTATGGATAAAGAGAATTTTGGGATAAAATTAAGGAAAAATAGAATTTATGGATAAAAAGAATTTTGGGATAAAGGGAATTTTGGGATAAAGAGAATTTTGGGATATAAAATTTATGGATAAAGGGAATTGATGGATAAAGAGAATTTTGGGATAAAGAAAATTAAGGAAAAATTAGAATTCATGGATAAATAAAATTTTGGGATAAATAAAATTGATGGATAAAGGGAATTTTGGGATAAAGGGAATTGATGGATAAAGGGAATTTTGGGATAAAGGGAATTCCAGGAAAAGCCGTTTCCTTCTCGTTTCCCCATCCCCGTCTTCCCTCCGCTTTTCCCCGAATTCCCTTCATCCCAAAGAAAAAAAAAAAAAGACGGAAAACAAAAAAAACCGGGATGGAAGAGCTCAAACTCATTCCGTAAAAAACAAAAAAAAACCGGGAATAATAAAAGCGCCGGAGCTTTGGCAGAATTCCCACGGATGTCATGGAAACGCTGAAATTCCCGGGAAGGATTCCCGGCTCCTCCCCCTCCCCCGCACGGATCCGCCCGCGTCTCATCCCTGACAACTCCCAATTTTCCGAAGGCTTCGTTTTTCCCTCGGGATAAATATTATTGTCGGGAATGAAATGGAAACCCCGGAGCTTCCGGAGGGATCCGATCCCCGGGGGGGTTCGGAATTCCCGGAGAATTCCAGGTGTTGCCGGTTGAAACGCCCGGAGTTGGATGGGGAATGAGTCCAGGAACTGGATCTGGAATCGGATTGGGAATGATTCCTTGGGAATTGGATTGGGAATTCCGGGAACTGGATCCGGAATTGGATCGGGAATGATTCCTTGGGAATTGGATCGGGAATTCCGGGAACTGGATTCGGAATTGGATCGGGAATGATTCCTTGGGAATTGGATTGGGAATTCCTGGAACTGGATCAGGAATCGGATCGGGAATGATTCCTTGGGAATTGGATTGGGAATTCCGGGAATGATTCCTTGGGAATTGGATCCGGAACTGGATCCGGGAACTGGATCCGGAGTTGGATCGGGAATGATTCCTTGGGAATTGGATCGGGAATTCCGGGAACTGGATCTGGAATTGGATCAGGAATGATTCCTTGGGAATTGGATCGGGAATTCCAGGAACTGGATCCGGAATTGGATCCGGAATGATTCTTTGGGAATTGGATCGGGAATTCCTGGAACTGGATCCGGAATTGGATCCGGAATGATTCCTTGGGAATTGGATCGGGAATTCCTGGAACTGGATCCGGAATTGGATTGGGAATGATTCCTTGGGAATTAGATCGGGAATTCCTGGAACTGGATCCGGAATTGGATCGGGAATGATTCCTTGGGAATTAGATCGGGAATTCCGGGAACTGGATCTGGAATTGGATCGGGAATTCCTGGAACTGGATCCGGAATTGGATCAGGAATGATTCCTTGGGAATTGGATCGGGAATTCCTGGAACTGGATCCGGAATCGGATCGGGAATGATTCCTTGGGAATTGGATCTGGAATTCCGGGACTTGTATTGGGAATGATTCCTTGGGAATTGGATTGGGAATTCCGGGAATGATTCCTTGGGAATTGGATCGGGAATTCCGGGAACTGGATCCGGAATTGGATCGGGAATGATTCCTTGGGAATTGGATTGGGAATTCCTGGAACTGGATCCGGAATTGGATCAGGAATGATTCCTTGGGAATTGGATCGGGAATTCCGGGAACTGGATCAGGAATTGGATCGGGAATGATTCCTTGGGAATTGGATCCGGAACTGGATCCGGGAATTGGATCCGGAGTTGGATCCGGAATGATTCCTTAGGGATTGGATCGGGAATTCTGGGATTGATTCCTTGGGAATTGGATTGGGAATTCCTGGAACTGGATCCGGAATTGGATCCGGAATGATTCCTTGGGAATTGGATCGGGAATTGGATCAGGAATGATTCCTTGGGAATTGGATTGGGAATTCCGGGAACTGGATCCGGAATTGGATCGGGAATGATTCCTTGGGAATTGGATCGGGAATTCCGGGAACTGGATCCGGAATCGGATCGGGAATGATTCCTTGGGAATTGGATCGGGAATTCCGGGAACTGGATCCGGAATCGGATCGGGAATGATTCCTTGGGAATTGGATCGGGAATTCCTGGAACTGGATCCGGAATCGGATCGGGAATGATTCCTTGGGAATTGGATTGGGAATTCCGGGAACTGGATCCGGAATTGGATCAGGAATGATTCCTTGGGAATTGGATCGGGAATTCCGGGAACTGGATCCGGAATCGGATCGGGAATGATTCCTTGGGAATTGGATCCGGAACTGGATCCGGGAATTGGATCCGGAGTTGGATCGGGAATGATTCCTTGGGAATTGGATCAGGAATTTTGGGAATTGGATCGGGAATGTTTCTTTAGGGGTTTGATTGGGAATTCTGGGAATGATTCCTTGGGGTTTGGATCCGGAATTCCGGGAATTGGATCCGGAGTTGGATTCTTTAGGGAATCTCTGGAATTCCCTGGAATTCCCAGAAATTCCCTGGAAATCTCTGGAATTCCCGGGAATTCCCTGGAATATGTGTGGGATGGGCTCTTGGGGAATGCACAAATCTTCTTCCTGCTCCCCTTTCCATCCCAAAAATCCCTGGGATCCGGAATTCCCGGGAATACGCCTTGGGAACAAGATTCCCGGGAAATCTGAATCCTGGGAAAACAAATTCCAGGGAAAGATGATTCCTGGGAAAAATAATCCCAGGAAAAACTAATTCCAGGGAAAACTGATTTCATGGAAAACGGATTCCTGGGAAAAGCAATTCCAGGGAAAACCTGATTCCAAAGAAAATTGATTCCCGGGAAAATTGAATCCTGGGAAAACCGATTTCATGGAAAACCGATTCCCGGGAAAACGGATTCCCGGGAAAATCAATTCCCGGGAAAACTGATTCCCAGGGAAAACGGATTCCCGGGAAAAGCTCCGCAGGGCCGGGCTGGGGAACGCGGGACGAACGGAAAATCGGGATCGGCTCCCACTTTCCCCTTCTCCGGGAATTCCATCGGAATTTTTCTTTCCCTTCTCCAGGTAAATCGGAGCGAGGCTCCTTCTCCTCCTACGGCCGCGATTCCAATCTCCAGGGCTGCCACCAGGTGAGTGAAATCCCGGGAATTCCGGGAATTCTCCCGCTCCCGACATTCCCAAAAATCCCAAATTCCCGGGAAAAGCCGGGCTCGAGGGATAAAGGCGGGAATTGGGTTTCTTTTCCCGGTTTTTTTTTGGTTGCTCGGGAATTGTTTTGGGTTGGAATTCGAGGTTGGCGAAGATTTCCCGGGAATAAAATTCCCAAGGAATCCCCGGCTTTCCCGTTTTTCCCAAGGATTTGAATCATTCCTTTGGGAAAACCGGGAATTCCATCCCTTCCTATTCCCAACAAACCGGATCCCGGTTTTTTTCCCCGGGAATTTTGGGAATGTGGGAGCCGCAGGGATTTGTGACATTCCAGGAGTTTGTGGGGAATTTCTTGGGAATTCTTCCCGGGTGCTGTGGGCAGCCGGAATTCCGGGAATTGTTCCTGGGAATTGTTCATGGGAATTGTTCCCGGGAATTATTTCCGGGAATTATTTCTGGGAATTATTTCCAGGAATTGTTCATGGGAATAATTTCTGGGAATTTTTTCTGGGAATTTTTTCTGGGAATTGTTCATGGGAATAATTTCCGGGAATTTTTTCCGGGAATTATTTCTGGGAATTATTTCCAGGAATTTTTTCCGGGAATTATTTCCAGGAATTTTTTCTGGGAATTGTTTCCTGGAATTATTTCCGGGAATTGTTTCCAGGAATTTTTCGTGGGAATTATTCCTGGGAATTGTTCATGGGAGTTTTTTCTGGGAATTGTTTCCGGGAATTTTTTCCTGGAATTATTTCTGGGAATTTTTTCCGGGAATTGTTTCCGGGAATTTTTTCCGGGAATTATTTCTGGGAATTTTTTCTGGGAATTGTTCATGGGAATTGTTCATGGGAATTTTTTCCGGGAATCTTTTCTGGGAATTGTTCCCGGGAATTATTTCCGGGAATTCTTCCCGGCAATTGTGGATGTGGCAGGCGGGGCTGGGCTGGGATTTTCCAAGCGCTCGTTCCGTCATTCCGGACCCGGAAGTTGCGTCAGAGCCGGAAAAGCTGCAGGAATGGGAATTCCCGCCCTGGGGAACGGAAACTTTTCCTTTTCCCTTTTCCCATTCCCATTCCCATTTTTCCCATTCCCATTTTTTTCATTCCCCATTTTTCCTATTCCCTATTCCCATTCCCTTTTTTCCTGTTCCCCATTTTCCCCATTTTTCCCATTTTTCCCATTCCCATTTTTCCCATTCCCATTTTTCCCATTCCCATTTTTCCCATTCCCATTTCCCATTCCCACTTTTCCCATTCCCATTTTCCCATTCCCATTTTTCCCATTCCCATTTTTCCCATTCCCATTTTTCCCATTTTCCCCATTTTCCCCATTTCCCCGTTTCCCGCCATCTCCCCTCGCATTCCCGATCCCATCCCCAATTCCCGGGATCCTCCCGTCACCCATCCGAGATTTCCTTGGAATTTCACCCCCTTGGGAGAACCCAGCTCCCCCTTCCCGCTCGGAAAAACCCGGGAAAACGCTGGAATTCCCGGAATTCCCCCTCCGGAATTTCCTCCTCTCCGTGTTTTTCCCGCTATCCCAGAGATTTGTCGGGAATTCCGAGGGAGATGAGCTGGGATATTCCAGGAATTCTGAGGGAATTCCCGCTGGAATTGTCGGGAAAAGAGGAATCGCTTGGGATTCAGGGGCGTTCCCTAAAAAAATTCCCGAAGGATCCGGGAGAGTTGAATTCCATGGAAAACCGGATTTGATTTTAAGGATCCATCCCAAGGTGGGATATTTAATTTAATTTAATTTAATTTAATTTAATTTAATTTAATTTAATTTTAATTTAATTTAATTTAATTTAATTTAATAATAATCATTCAATTATAGAAATAATCGTCGTTTAATAATATTTATTACTTAAATTTTATTTCATTCTATTCATTATTTAAATATTTTAATATTATTAATTATTATTTAAATATTATTTGATTTTATTCTTGCTTGTTTTAGTTTTATTTATTTAATTTCATTTAATTTATTATTTGAATATTTAAATATTTAAAACTTATCATAAATAATTTATATTTTATAATAAATAATTTCTAATATTTCATTTATTAAATATTTTCAATTTTTAATTGTTTATTCTTCAAATATTTAAATTTTATTTCATTTTATTATCTGTAATTTTAATTTTATTTCATTTTCTCATCTATCATTTAAATTTTTAAATTGTTTTAAATTAAATATTTAAATTTCTAAACTTTATTACTTTAATATTTTAATTTTATGCCTTATTTAAGTATTTTAATTTTTGTTTTATTTAATTTTATTACTTATATAAATATTTTAAATTTTATTTCACGTTACATTTCATTTAAATATTTAAATTTTATCTCATTTTATTATCTTTTAAGTATTTAAATTTCATCATTTTTACTTAAATATTTCCATTTGATTTCTTTTTATTACCTATTATTTAAATTTTCTCATTTTATTTCTTATTTGAATATTTCAATTTCATTATCTATTATCAAAATATTTAAATTTCCTTTATTTTTTATTTAAATATTTGAATTTTATTTATTTGTCTCTTATTAAAATATTTAAATTTCATTTCATTACCTCTTAACATATTTAAATTTTATTTAATTATATCTTATTAAAGTATTTAAATTTCATTTAATTACCTCTTACTAAAGTATTAAAACTCCATTTATTATTTGTTATTTAAATATTTGAATTTTATTTAATCATCTCACTAAAATATTTAAATTCAACTTAATCACTTATTATTCAAATCTTTAACTTTCATTTAATTATTGCTTATTTAAATATTTGCATTTTATTTCATTATCTCATTAAAATATTTCAATTTCATTAATTGTTATTTAAATATTCAAGTAGTATTTAATTGTTAACTTAATATATGAATTATATTTAATTACCGGATATTAAAATATTTAAATTTCATATAATTGTTATTTAAATATTGAAATTTATTTGTGTGCTATTTAAATATTGAAATTTATTTATGTGCTATTTAAATATTTAAATTTATTTCATTATCCGCTATTTAAATATTTAAATTCTGGACCATCCCAAATCCGTGATTTTTCCATCAGGAATTCAATTCCCAATAAAAATAAAAACCAGGGAAAAGCTGTTTTTTTTTCCCGGGAAAAACCAAAATCCGGGATTCCAGGACGGGAAATTCCCGTTTTTTCCTGGGAAAAAAAAAAGAAATCGCAATTCCCAGATTTTTTTATGGGGAAATGAAGCCAAAGGATGGGAATTCCTTCCTTTTCCTTCGCGGAATCATTCCCAAAAAATCAAATCCCGGTGTTTTTTTGGTGTTTTTTTTTCGCGTCGCTCGGTCGGAAAAAAGAAGGAAAAAATTCCAAGGTTGGAATTTCCGGGTGGGATTTGGGGCAAATCTTGGGGGGTTTGAACAGAGAGCTGGAAATTCCCTGAAATCCCAAAAAGGACGGAATTCCGGAGGAGGGGGGGGGGAAAATCCAAGGAATCGTTCGGCTCCGAACGGAAACGGCCGGAAAAACCCCGGGAATTCCGACGGCCGCTCATCCGTACGGAGCCGCTCGTTAATTAATCCTTAATTAAAACAATCATTCCCGATCAATCCCGGCCACAGAATTCCCGGAGTTTCTTCGGGAATGGAGCGCGGAAAAGCGGGAATTGGAGGCGATCCCGGTTTTTTGTTTTTTTTTTCCTGGGAAAAGCCCCAATTAAGGGAGAGCGGGGTCGGGGGAATCCCAACAAAAGGAGGGAAGAACCGGGAATCATTCCAGGGATAAATCCCGGGAATAATACCGGGAACGGGAGCTTTGATCCCGGGGAATGGCAGGAATTTTAATTGGGGAGGAGGGTTGGGAAAAAAAACCGGGATAAAAGGGGACGGGAAATCTCGGGAAAACGAGGAATAAATAACGGGAATCGGTCGGGAAGGAGATTCCGAAGGGTTGGGAGTGGGTGGGGGGGGGGGGTTTTCCAAAGGGATCCCGGGAAAAAAATAGGGAATGGGGGAGGCGGGGAGGAGGCTCCGGGAGGGGAGGGAAAATTGGGATTGGGGAGGGAAAATTGGGATTGAAAAGGAAAATTGGGATTGAGGAAGAAAATTGGGATTGAAAAGGAAAATTGGGATTGAGGAGGAAAATTGGGATAAGGGAGGAGAAGAAAATTGGGATTGAACAGGAAAATTGGGATTGGGGAGGAAAAAATTGGGATTGAACAGAAAAATTGGGATAGAGCTGAAGAAAAACTGGGATTGAGAAGGAAAATTGGGATTGAGGAGGAAAATTGGGATAAGGGAGAAGAAAATTGGGATTAAATAGGAAAATTGGGATTGAGGAGAAGGAAAATTGGGATTGAACAGGAAAATTGGGATAAGGGAGGAGAAGAAAATTGGGATTGAGGAGAAGGAAAATTGGATTAAATAGGAAAATTGGGATTGAGGAGAAGAAAATTTGGATTAAATAGGAAAATTGGGATTGAGGAGGAAAATTGGGATTGGGGAGGAAAATTGGGATTGAGCTGATGGAAAATTGGGATAAGGGAGAAGAAAATTGGGATTGAACAGAAAAATTGGGATTGAGGAAATGAAGGAAAATTGGGATTGGGGAGGGAAAATTGGGATTGAGGAGGAAAATTGGGATTGGGGAGGAAAATTGGGATTGAGCTGATGGAAAATTGGGATAAGGGAGAAGAAAATTGGGATTGAACAGAAAAATTGGGATTGAGGAAATGAAGGAAAATTGGGATTGGGGAGGGAAAATTGGGATAAGGGAGGAGAAGAAAATTGGGATTGAACAGGAAAATTGGGATAAGGGAGAAGAAAATTGGGTTTGAGGAGGAAAATTGGGATTGGGGAGAAGGAAAATTGGGATTGAGGAGGAAAATTGGGATGGAGCTGAAGAAAAAGTGGGATTGAGAAGGAAAATTGGGATTGGGGAGGGAAAATTGGGATTGAGGAGGAAAATTGGGATAAGGGAGAAGAAAATTGGGATTAAATAGGAAAATTGGGATTGAGGAGGAGAAGAAAATTGGGATTGGGGAGAAGGAAAATTGGGATTGAGGAAATGAAGGAAAATTGGGATTGAGGAGGAAAAAATTGGGATTGAACAGGAAAATTGGGATTGAGGAGGAGAAAATTGGGATAAAAGAGCTGAAGGAAAATTGGGATTGAATGGGAAAATTGGGATTGAACAGGAAAATTGGGATTGGGGAAATGAAGAAAAACTGGGATTGAGAAGGAAAATTGGGATTGGGGAAGTGAAGGAAAATTGGGATAAGAGAGCTGAAGGAAAATTGGGATTTAGGAGGAAAATTGGGATTGAGGTGATGGAAAATTGGGATTTAGAAGGAAAATTGGGATTGGGGAGAAGGAAAATTGGGATTTAGAAGGAAAATTGGGATTTAGAAGGAAAATTGGGATTTAGAAGGAAAATTGGGATTTAGAAGGAAAATTGGGAATTAGAAGGAAAATTGGGATTTAGAAGGAAAATTGGGATTGAACAGGAAAATTGGGATTGAACAGGAAAATTGGGAATTAGAAGGAAAATTGGGATCCCGCTCATGCCGTTTTTCTCCTTGGGAATCCCAAAGCATTCCCACAAAAAATTCCCTTTTTTTCCCTAAGGATCATTCCCAACTTTGGAAATCCCGGAGAAAAGCGGGAATGAAATTCCCATAGATTTCCCGGAGCGAGGAGGAAAATCCCGGGAATTCCCATTCCGGAGCCTCTCCCTGATCCCTGCCTCCTTTTTCCCGGGAATTATCGGAATTTGGGAATTTTTTCCCTTAAAATCTCCAGAGGAAAAAAAAAATTGGGATGAAATCCTCGGATTTTTCCAGGGATTCATCCCAAAATTCCCGTGGGGATATTCCCGTTTTTTTTTTCCCGGGATATTCCCATTAAACCTCAGGGAAAACATTCCCTAAAATCCCATTTTCCAAGGATTTTCACCTTCAATCAACCGGGAAATTCCGGGAAACATTCCCGGAAATTCTCCGGGATACTCCCGACATTCCCGGAGTCGCGGCTTCTCTTTTTCCCCTTCCTCATTCCCAATTATCCCGAGGAATCCAACGGCTTTTCCCGAGGATTTCTCCGGCTCCGGGTGTCGTTTCCGATCCCCCGCCGGGTGGGAATTATCCCGGAAATCCCGGAGAGGGGGAAAACCTCGGGATGAGGGAATTTTGTGAGGTCGGGGATCAAACCCCGGGAATTTTTCCATGGAATTTTATCCCGAAAATCCTGGAGAAGAGGGAAAACCTCGAGCTGGGGGAATTTTGTGAGGATGACGAGATCAGGGATCAAACCCCGGGAATTTTTCCATGGAATTTTATCCCTAAAACCTCATCCTGGGATTTTTCCGAGGAATCAAACCCCGGGAATTTTTCCATGGAGTTGAATCAAACCCCCGGGAATTTTTCCATGGAATGGAATCAAACCCCGGGAATTTTTCCATGGAATTTTATCCCTAAAACCTCATCCTGGGATTTTTCCGAGGAATCAAACCCCGGGAATTTTTCCATGGAGTTGAATCAAACCCCGGGAATTTTTCCATGGAATTTTATCCCTAAAACCTCGAGCCGGGATTTTTCCGAGGAATCAAATCCTGGGAATTTTTCCCATGGAATTTTATCCCTAAAACCTCGAGCCGGGATTTTTCTGAGGAATCAAACCCCGGGAATTTTTCCCATGGAATTTCATCCCTAAAACCTCGAGCCGGGATTTTTCCGAGGAATCAAATCCTGGGAATT